AAAGATGGGGCCAGCAGGTGGCATATTGGTTAAGGGACTGGCTCCCATGTGACGGACTTGGTTTGAGTTCCAGACCTGGAGGCTTGCTTTCTCACTTTCTCTCTCTCTCTGGTGAGCACATGTGCCCTGTAGAAAACTATAAAAAAAATTAGTGATATGGACCAGCAGATGGCATAATGGTTAAATTGTTGGAGTCCCATGCATGGAGTTGACCACGATTGGAATCCTGGACTCAGTGGCTTGAAACTCATGCCAGGTGCATGTGCCTGCATGCCCAAAATCTGGAGGGGAGACTAGAGGAGAAGGGATTGTGGTATGCCCATCCCTCCAGGGGTGATTTTTCACTTTCTTTCTCTCTAGCGAGCACACAAGCCCTATAACAACAACAAAAATACCTCCCTTTAACCACGGTTTGAGTCTCAGACCTGGTGGCTTAAACTCACACCAGGCGCGTGTGTCTGCATGCCCAAGATCCTGAGAGGAGAATGAAGGAGAAGAGATTGTGGCATAGCCATCCCCCCTGGAGGATGATTTCTTGCTTTCCGTCTCTGTCTTTCTGGCGAGCATGTGCACCCTATAGCAAAAAAAAAAAAAAAAAAAAAAAATAGAAATAAAAAAAAAAAAAAAATAGTAGTAATAAAAACATAAGATTAAATAATTTTAAAAAAAGAAAGAGAAATGCCTATTTTTTTCTCTCCCAACCATGTGTGCTCTCGATTGCTCATAAAAATGAAATTAAAAATAAAACGAGGCTATTGTAGATTATAGTAAGCCTATACTTGGATCATCCTTATTAATTCCATAAACATTGGCCCTTGACTGGACAGTTTGATCCATTTACATTGAAAATAATGTTTAAAAGGAAAGACTCATTTTTAGTATTTTGCTACTTGTTTTTGATAAACCTTTCACCTTTTTGTTCCTTAATTCCTCTACTGCTACCTTCTTTTGTGCTAATTTTTTTTAAGTGCAATTTTAAAAATTTATGATAGTGCACACACTCACGTATGAGAGACAGATAGGCCCTCTCAACATGCTCTCATCACACCATAATCCTGCTCCCTTGGCCTTACTGCTTGTCAGGATCTGAGGCACATGTGTGTGTACATCATATTCAAGGTAACTGGGTATGCAGACTCACAGCTGGCTATGTGGCATCCAGTGCTAGAGTCCAGTATACTACTGCCTGCTCCACTAAGACTAGGATCTTCAGAGATTTTTGGAGTATACCATTTTCTTTCTTCACTTCCTGTGTACAGTGCTTAGACATTTTCTTAGTGTTTACCATGCAGGTTTCAAGAAACATCCTAAAACTAATATTAACTTAAGACTCAACAGCATACAAAAAAATCTATTTTACACAGCTGTTGCCCCTTTCATCGTTATCATTATAAATCCTATCTTTTTTTTTTTTTTTCCAAGAGGTTTTCACCTTTAGAGTATGTGGACTTTGGAGAGAGAGACACACAGTGAAAGGGAAAGTGAACATCACTTCTGGGGGAGGTGGGGATGACCTTCTATTCTCTTCCTTCTCTTCCATTCTCCTCTGGGGATCTTGGGTACACACATTCATGCATATGCAGCTGGAGTGAGTTTCAAGCCACCGGGTCCAGGACTCAAACCACAGTCGGCCATGTGGGAGTCCAATGATGTAACTGGTACACCATCTGCTGGTTCATAAACCACATCTTTACATGTTGATGTCTCAAAAAATGCACAATCGAGGAGAACATCTATAATGTGATAGCTCTGTAAGTAAGTCTCCCACTTCCTTAGTGTTTATCTTTCCTTTCCTTTTCTTTGTTTTTTTTTAAAGTCAGAGTCTTGCTGTATCGCAATTCCCTTGCCTCAGTCTCCCAGCTAAGACTACAGACACATAACCACCATGCCTGGCTTTTTTTTTTTTAGACAGTCTTACTTTGTCACAGAGGCCAACCTTAAGCTTATAGTCTTTCTGCCTCAGTCTCCCAGGTTGCTGGGGTTATGGGCACATGTCACTGCACCTGGCCTTTAGGCTGGACCAGTAATTGAACTCAGGAACACCATGAGGTCCTAGCTGCAGAGCATAGCATCACAGTAGCATGGAATACTATGACAGGGCAGGGTTTGCTGTTCTCAATTGCTACCATTGTTTGTTCACTTACTGTCCCAGACTATGTGTACAGGCTATTCCTTGTCATGTGCAGTCACTGGTGTCTATTTTGTATGCTAGCTCTGTGCTGGGGTACTTCTTTCAACACCATTGAGAACGTCTCTTGAGTTTCCTGTTTTCACTCAGCGTAGAGACCAGTCAGAGGCAAAGGCCTATGTCTTCAGAGGTCTTTTCTCAGTATGCTGTCCTGAGCATATGTGTGGCTTTCTAAGCTCCCCACTGTCCAAGGATGCTGCTGACTGCCCACATTTTGCCCAAGAGACACTTTCCCAGTTTTTCTCCCTAGGTTTTGGGTAATCCATGGTATGTGTAACCACAGCCATGGTATGTGTAACCACAGGTGATGCCACAGGTGGCTGTAGGACTTTAGTGTAAATTACAACTTTTTAAAAAGAATTATATTTAACTTTATTTATTTATTTACTTATTTAATTTGACCAGAGAGGAAAAGAGAGCGAGCGAGCAAGCTGCCAGGTCCGGGACTTAAACCGCAGTCGGCCATGTGGGAATCCAGCATCCTTATCTACCATGCCACCTGCCGGCCCCAATTACAACGTTTTTAAGTCTACCACTTTTCTGGTGAGTTAGGCAAAACAGAGATGAACAACTTGTATCAATCCTTCAGGTAGGCCCAAATAGGTTAGAAAAACAAAATTTCTGGGGACCAGCAGATGGTGAAATGGTTACGTCACAGAACTCCCACAGAGTTGACCATTGTGCAAGTACCAGACCTGGTGGCTTAAAACTCATGCTAGGCCCATGTGTGTGCATGTGTACCCAAAATCCTGAGAAGAAATGGAGAAGGGATGAGAGCATGGCTATCCCCCCTGGGGGTGATTTCTTGCTTTCTGTCTCTTTCTGCCTCTCCAGTAAGCGCACATGCTCTATAGCAAATCTCTCTTAAACAAAAAAAAAAAGAAAAAAAGAAAAAGAAAAACAGAATTTCTGAATAGCTCTGCTCTATTCCTTCTAACCAGGGACTATGGTTCCACACTGTGAATAAAGGCTGCTTGCTTTAAAACTGCCACTAAGCCAGGGAGAGGGAGAGGCTGCAGCATGGGGGGGAAAAAACCCACAAAGCTTTCCTTTCTTACCATTTTCTTTTTAAAGACAGGGTCTCACTAAGTCATGATTCTTCTGCCTCAGCCTCCCAGGGATCCAGGACCACAGACATGTGCTGGAGACAAACCCAGGCCTCTGTGTGGTTCTGCTACCACAGTGGAGGAGCCCCTCTGTGAACCACCACAGTTGGGTTAGCCCTACCATTAAAAAAATAATTTTTTTTTTAGATCTTTTGCTGTAGGGTGTGTGTACTCAGCAGAGAGATAGAGAGAAAAAGATAGAGAAATCACCCCTTCAAGGGGCATGGTCATGCCCCAATCCCTTCTCCTCTAGGGAGTTTTGGCAGGTATGTACTTGGTGGGTCTTTTAGGCTGCTGGGTCCACGATGCAAACCCACAGAGTTGGCCATGTGGGATCCAGCACCTTAAGCACCATGCCACCTGCTGGACCTCACACAGTAGCTTTTTTCTTTTTTAAAAAAATATTTATTTATTTAAATTTGACCACAGAGGGACAGAGTGAGAGAAAGAGAGAGCAAGTGAGCAAGAGAGGGAAAGTGAGAAAGGACACTGCCAGGTCTGGGACTCTGAACCGTGGTCAGCCATGTGGGAGTCCAGCACTCCTAACCACCATACCACCTGCCGGTCCTGTCCCCACAGTGGCTTTTAAAAGATGAGCCACTATCTGAGACCAGCAGATGGTGTAATGGTTACATCGCTGGACTCTCATGTAGTTGACTGTGGTTAAGAGTCACAGACCTGGCAACTTAAACTCACACAAGGTGCCTGTGCATGCGTGTCCGAGATCCTGAGAGGATAATGGAGAAGGGATTGTGGCATGGCTGTCCCTCCCCCGGAGAGGGGGGGTGGTTTCTTGCTTCTGTCTCTCTGGTGAGTGCACATACCATATGGCAAAAATCTTCCTGAAAACAAACAAACAAAAAAAGATGACCCAGCAACAGCCTATTTTTAATTTTTTTTTAAAATTCCCTAGAGCAAGGAACCTGGCTCTATTTGCCATTCTCTGCCTTACACGCCTAGCAGGGGTCCCTTGGCCATGTGCTTAGCACTCTGTCTCTGCTCAGACTAGTTATAGGGCACTGCTGGGACCTTCTCTTGTCTTTTATGCTCTCTTGTCTTCCCCTTCTCCACTCAGAATACGCTCCGCTATTCCATTCGCACACCAAGGGCAAGCCTGTACCATCTCTGCCCTTACCCCAGCTATCCCTTCCCACACAGGGTTTGACAAGGAATGGGGGTTGCAGTAGTTTTACAGGGTGTCCCCTTATAGAACAGCCACTGTCTGTTGCAAACAAGGGAAGTTAACACTAAGTAGTTACCCTGTTCACTGCTGGGAGGTCCAAAAAGGTGAACAGGTGAATCTTTGGGAAGGACTTTGATGGGGTGGGGGAAGTGGGCAGCAAGAATGTAACCAGGAGGGAGCAAGGCCAACATGTAGGCTAGGACAGAGTTCTGAGGGCAGAGGACCACCAGCCGCCTGGTCACTGAAATTAGCAGGATTAGGCTTTAGGGGAAAACAAAGGACCCTGATGGCCATCAGATCATACCTCTACGTCAAGTGGGGAAAACACAGTGTCCTTCCTGCTCAGTGCACCAGGGCTCAAGCCAGGTCAGCTTCGTTTCTTACATCCGGCCTTGACCATTTGAGTTCATACGGCATCCTACCTCACCACCCAGTGATGAAATAGATGCCTCCTGGGGATAAGTGCAAGGTGATGCAAACATCTCCCGAGAGTAAGGGCACCAGAGGGGAGACTTTCCAGTACCTTGCTGCTGATGGTGAGGGCACATGGCTTCCGGCTCTGCTCCACCACAGCAGAGGGGACCACAGACTGTAGATCCAAGATGTGTTACGTCAGGAACATCATAGACACAAGTCTGGACTGCAGGGGATTGAGGGAATGGTCCTGGAGCTGAAGAATCCATCTCTCTCTCCTCAGGCCAAGCTCGGAGACTGGGCATGACTAGACCTACAGAGCGACAAGGATACAGGTGAGTGTGCAAACAGGTTAACTCCAAGGTACATCCCCCAACACACAGGGGTTTCTTCTTCCACCCATGCAGTTTGAGACCTAAAGAGAAACTGGAATTGACAATATATTTCCTGAACCTGGATCAAGAGAAGAAATAGGCAGCCCCAGGGACAGACTCACAAGTGGAGGTTGCAGGTACAAAAGAGTTAGCCCCAAGGCTATGTGGCACCCAGCAGGCACCCCACTGAAGGGCCCAGCCCTGGCAAGACAGGAAAAGGGCAGCTCCCATAGAGCCTGCACCTGCTGTGGGCCTACCCCTCCCGCTCTGAGGCTGAACTAAATGGCACAATCACATGGCTCAAAAGCTAAGGTTAGAAAGGATTTACAGTACAGTACCTCCTAGCCAGTCAGTTCTGGTTCATTCTTTGTATCTTTCTGGATTGTTCTAGGCTTACACAAGCAAATATGCACATCCAGTTTTGCCTTATTAAACTTCAAAACCAAGCTCTTGTGCACCTTGTCATCACCTCATTAGATGCTAGATTTTGCCAGCCAGCTTGGCTTAGTCAGCAGCTGGCAGAACACCCCAACCCTCGTCCTCCTCCCTGGAACCGAGCATGTTATATTACCCAGGGAGAGAAGTTTTGCACAGGAAATTCATTTCACAGACGCGAGTGACACCAGTGGATGAGATCTAAGCACATGAGCCCTTAGAAGCCCAAGGTTTTGGGTGGCTGGGGGGCTCCCAGATGTACACCCCGTGCAAGGCCCTCCGGGAGCTCTCTCCAGGAGCTCTCGTCGCCGGAACTGGACGCGTGTGGACGCGCACTGTCTGGGCTGAAGGCGAAACCTGAATCGCAGAGACCGCCGGCCTTCAGCGCCCGCCCTCCTTCTGCAGGCCCCATAGCTCCTGCCTGGACAGCCATGGTCGAGTTCCTTCCCCTCCCAGGGCGCATTCTCTGCCACTGACAAGCCTCCAGGCAGGGCGCCGGCACTCCGGAGACGACACCGGCACCCCGGAGACCCCACCTTTCCTCGTCCAGTCTCGCCTCCGCCCGCGCCCAGAACACCCGCTCCAGGGAGGTCCCCGAGGCGCCGACCCCGGGCGGCTACCGACGCTCGGAGCCGCTCGGGCCGCCCGCGTTCGGGGACGGAGCTTCGCCGTCCGACTCGTTCGAGACCCCAGGGAGGCCCTTCCTACGGGCACGGCGAACCCCTGGCGCACTTCGGGAGCGTGAGGCGCCGCCCAGCACACTCACCTCCCCGGCGGCGCGCGCCCAGAGAGGACGCACCGCGGAGCCGCCAAGCGCCTCGGACCCCGCGGACTAACCCCGGAAGTCCCGCCTTGACTTCCGGCCCGCGGCCCGCCCAGTTTGAGCGCTCTAGTCGGCGGGAGGCCGGGGCCTGTCTGTGGTTCTGCTGCGGATTTGAACCCCAGAGCTGAGACCTGAGCCTCCGCCCCGCACCCTACGGCCCCAGCGGAGGGCCGCACTAAGCAAGGGGGAACTGAGAGCTGCAAGGAAGAGGCCCGACGTTGCGATGACGGGAGTGGACCCATGGAAAGGTTCGTGGTTCAAGTCCGAGGCCCTCCTGAGCACCGCTGCTGGTGCTGGAGGGGCGTGGATGGACGGTGGAGCAGAAGACCCTGTTGAGGGGAGGCTGTCGGGGCTAGAGCCGCAGGAGAGACCTCAAGATCAGATTGCAAGAAAAGGAAAGAGAAGCCATGTTTCGAAGACCTGAATTACAGATACGTCATCAGTTTGTAAGACGAATCTGAAATAGCTAGCAGTCTGCTTCTTGAGAGCTCTCTGGACCGTGTGCAGTTACTTGGAGAGAGGGTCAGGACCCTGTCATGACAGGTGGAAGGAAGAAATCCAGTCACAATATTTTCTTTGGCAACAAATGAGACGTGGAGATCAGGGGACAATGAAGTATTCCGAGTGGGCGATGTCAGTCAGAAGACATCACTATTCCAGCCGGCCTCAGAGTCGTGGCCTATCAGTATCTGAAAAAGGGGTCTTGAGTTTATGTGAGAGGGAAAGAAGACTATGGCGAATGCACAAGGCGACAGGCAACAACAGTCATAGCTGATAACATTCTGATGACCAGACCAAAGAGAAGGTGTAGAATGGATGATTCTTCTTGGACATTGCTTATTACAGTCTCATTTCCACATCATGTATAGTCTTATAGTTTCTTTTGTTTTTGAGAGATTTTCGCTATAGGGCGTGTGCTCGCGCCAGACAGACAGAGAGAGACATAGAGACAGAAAGCGAGAAATCACCCCCCAGGTGGGATGGTCACGCCGCAATCCCTTCTCCTCCATTCTCCTCTCGAGATCTTGGGCACGCACGCACATGTACCCGACATGAGTTTTAAGCCACCGGGTCCGGGACGCGAACTGTGGTCAGCTACGTGGGAGTCCAGCGACATAGCCATTATGCTAACTGCTTGTTCCCTCTTTGTATTTTTTAAAGTTTCACCACAAAGTGTCTTTTTTTTTTTTGGAGAGGTTTTTGTTATATGGCGCGTGTGTTCGCCAGACAGAGACAGAGAGACAGAAAGCGAGAAATCACCCCCCAGGTGGGATGGTCACGCCGCAATCCCTTCTCCTCCATTCTCCTCTCGGGATCTTGGACACACATGCAGATGCGCCCGGCGTGAGTTTTAAGCCACCGGATCCGAGACTCGAACCGCAGTCGGCTACATGGGAGTCCAGTGACATAACCATTATGCTAACTGCTGGTCCCACCACCAAGTGTCCTTTTGATATTCTTCCCAACCATTTAAAAAAATGCAACCACTTGGGACCAGCAGAGAATTATACAAAACAGGTGGCATGTTTGCCAATTCCTGTTACTCCCTGTCACCAGGAAGTAACATCCATTCCAGGAGAGTTGGTCCTACTTGATCTACATTAAATAAATTCAGACAATACTTCCAAGTGATTTACTCTCTGTTTAATTTTTTTTTTTTTTAGAAAGATTTTTGCTGTAGGGCTCATGGGCTCACTGGAGAAACAGATACAGAAAGACCAAAAGCAAGAAATCACCCCACGGAGGGATGGCTATGCTGCAATCCCTTCTCCATTCTCCTCTTGGGATTTTGGGCATCCACACACATGCATCTGGCTGAGCTTTAAGTCTCTGAGTCTGGGACTTGAACTTTAGTCGACTACACGGGAGTCCAGCGATGTAACCATTACACCATCTGCTGGCCCCTGACTTAGTCTCTTTTTATTCTTTTGGTAATCTCTTTCAGAGTTAACTACTTCCACTGCAGGTGATGAAAGGTTCCACTTTAAATGTTGGCACAGCTATGAGCATGGTCTTTCTCTTTACTGCAACTCAGAGATAAAATTTTTGATTATTCTATTTATTTATTTTTCACTATTCCAGTCCCAGAAATAGTTTTCACTGTAGAAGTTGAGGCTAATCTCCCCTTACCATCTGAGGGGGTTGCTGCAGGCCGAGCCTCATTTAGTAGTGCTTGCCAAAGGCCCCCTCTCCACCGTCCTGTGGGATGAGACAAAATCAGGCTGCCTATTTGGCTATTGGCCTATGCCAGGTAGACTCCTGAGATTGAAGGGAGGACCAGGGTGCATTGGGTACAGCTGCCTGAGGTCACTGCCGCAAGAACCACAGGGTGACACCACTGGACTGAGGAAGGGTCTCTGTGACTCTAGCTCACTGGAGGCGGGACACTGCCAGCCGAGGTCAAGCAAGGCCGGAGTTGATGACACGGCAGTGAATCCATTGTCTAGTTGATACTGATGCCTTGTCGAACATCATCAAGACGAAGACTCTGTAAAAACAATCATAATCCATTAACCTTCCAATGACAAATGCATTCTTTGTGACTAGATTGAGTATTCCAAAAGTGCCTTTTCTTTTTAAAATGTTTTTCACAGAATTCTTTAACTTTGTTTACTGATTTACTTATTTGTTAGTTTGTTTGTTCATTGTCATTTTGCCAGAGAGGGCAACAGAGAGAAAGCAAGGAAACAAGCCACCAGGTCTGAAGATTTGAACAGCGGTCCGCCACATGGGAGTCCGGCACCCTTAACCACCAGGCCACCAAAATGCCTTTCCTTTGTTTCTGTGCATACCTGATGGTAGTAAAAGAATGTCATTGAGCATTTGGCACTGCAAGTGTCATATACAAAGAAAGAAGATGAACAGGATCTGTGACCAAGGGGACTGGCAGGTAGCGGCCAGACTCACACGTAGTCAGGTGCAGATTGAGTGCCAGACTGGGTGACTTACGACTCACGCTGGGCACATATTCATGAATGCCCAGAATCCTGAGAGAAGAGAGGAAAGGGATAGTGGTGAGGCTATGCTACCCCCACTCCCAGGAGCTGGTGGTGTTTCCCTGCTTTCTGTTTCCCTGTCTCTCTCTGCCTCTCCAGTTAGCACATGTACACCATAGTATAAAAATAAAATAAAAAAAATAAAAAATTCTCTCTGAAACAAACACAGTCTCTCCAAAAGTAACACCACCAGCCGAGGTCAAGCAAGGTCAGTATTTATGACATGTCAGTGAATTCACATCGTCTAGACAATGTTTACTCCTTGTCGAACATCATCAAGAAGGAGACTCTGGAAAACGTTCATAATTCATTAACAGTCCAATGATAAGTTCATTCTTTGTAACTGGATTGATTATTTTCAAAAATGTCATCTCTGAGAACAAGATTCCTCATGGCTCCTGGTAACTAGTCATTGCAGGGGACAGGAAAAATGAAGATTTTCTACCAATAATTCAGCCTCAAACAAACAAAGCTAGCGTGGTAGGAGAGTTGAGGTATTCTGAACAAGATTCCTCATGGCTCCTGATAGATCTAAGGGCACTGTAGCTAAACATTGTAATACTATTAGAGTTAACATATTCCTCAATATCTACTGAATCTGCTGCACCAGCGATCACAACAGAACAACAAAGAGATTCCCGATCACTTCTTTCTGCTTGCTCCTGAACACTCAGATTGAACTTCAAGAATTCAAAAGAAAAACAACATCCATCAGATGACAAGAAATTACCACAGGACCATAAGAAATATGGGAAAGCAAGATAATACCTCTCCTCTAAGACAAAAGAATAACTTCTCTTCATACACAAGCAGTTCAATGCAAATCATGGAAATGTCTGATAAAGAATTTAGAACATTCATAATGGCGAAGCTAACTGAGATGGAAGAGAAGAGAGACAATGAACTGCTAAAGAGAAAGGAGAAAGAAGTTGATGAGTTCCAGGAGGTGAGGAAATTCTTGCAATACCAAAAAGAGGAATTACATGCTTTACAAAAGAGTCAAACGGAACTGTTAGAAATGAAGTCTATAATACAGGAAGTAAAAATCTCCCTTGAAAGTATTAAAAGCAGACTAGATCATACAGAAAATAGAATCTCCGATGCAGAAGAGAAAATTGCTGGCCTAGTAAAGTCCACCATGAAGACTGAGAAAATAGCCCCAAAATTTGAGAATAATCTGTATAATTGGCATTCCAGAAGGAGAAGAGACCCATAGGGCATTGATAATCTATTCCATGAAATTCTGCAAGAAAACTTTCCAAACCTAGAGAGGCATTCGAAGATCCAGTCACAAGAAATACAAAGGATCCCAAATAGAATCAACCCAAAAAGATCTTCTCCAAGACACATTATAGTCAGGTTGACCAAAACCACAGACAAAGACAAGATTGGCAAGAGAAAAACATCAAGTTACCTACAAAGGACATTCCATCAGGCTAACAGCAGATCTCTCATCGGAAACAATGCAGGCGTGGAAAGAATGGGAAAATATATTCAAAGTGTTAAGAGAAAAGCAATTTCACCCGAGAATACTGTACCTGGCGAGATTATCTTCCAGGTGGGAAGAAAAGACAAGAACATTCTCAGATAAAAAAAACTTGAAAGAATTAATCAGCACCAGACCAGATCTCCAAGAAGTTCTCAAGGGCATGCTATATCAGGAAAATTAAATACAGACACATGGAAAGAAGAGTTCAAAAACTAAGAAAGTGGCCAGCTT